CACGAAATATTTCATTACAAAATATATTAAAGTCTATAGTATATATATATTTAAGCCTATTTTGATTTTTATATCAAACAATATACATGTTACAGAAGTCAATAAATAAAACGGATATTTGCAGGCAAAATTACAAAGTGCGTAGTTATATTATACATTATTATATTGTATCACATTGATTCACTAATTATTAAATTACTATAGAATTGCTGCTGAAGATCCTATTATAAATTTTTGATCTTTAAATTTTACTTTATATTATTAATTTCATAATTAAAAGTAGAATACTTTTCTTGAATGTTGTTTGCTTAAATGTAGAATATAAAGTAAAAAGAGCTTTTATAGTTAATACGCTTTTAATTTTTAGCCGAACTTTTGTACCATATAATTCAATGAGTGCTTGAATAACATAATATTTGCGACAAGGGTACACGTCATTACGTCATTCATATTTATGAATATAAATATAGATAGAAATTATATTAAAACTGTGTTTTTTTAGTATTATTATTGTGCTTTGTAGTGAAAAAGTATTAATTTTTAATTATTTCAAATTTTTTTCTCATGATTTTAAAATATTTAATTATAATATACTGTTTATACAGTATACACAGATGAATAATAGTATTATTAGTTTATTTTCACAGTAAAAAAAAAAAAAAAAACTCGAAATAACATTTTTAATAAACATATAGGAATTATTAAATTATTTTAAAGATATCATAATATTTAATTTAAAATAATAATATAATGATAAGTTTATGGTAACTATTTACATATAATAATATATATAATGAAAATAATTTAGAAAATATAAAACTGTATTTTAGTCAATGTGTTAATGATAATTTTATAACATAGTATCTACTTACTATTTACCATTAAAGTAATTTATTTAAATAACTTCTCGTATAAATCATATTTCTATAACATTTCGTAGTCAAACATATTTAACGAATATGTATTAGTATCATACACAATAGTAATAAAATAATCCTTTGTGTGATTCATTATTATTGAAACTTATAAAATTAAATACATTTTAAGCCTATTTATTCTATACAGTGTGCTCGTGTATATTAAATTTGTCATTTTAATAATAAATTCCTTTGAGAACAACTTATTTGTATAATTGAATTGGGTTTTTTTTTTTGAAGGGAGGGGGAGATTTTTTAATTCGTTTTACTTAACTTAGAAAAAGCGTGCTTGATAAAATGTATGATATTGTAATAAGTAAACCTTGTGGAATTTAAATGGCTAAAAATATAAATAAAAATTCAGTTTTTTAATAAATTCCATGGGTATGTAACTGATTTGATAGAAAAAGATGTTATTCATAAAAATCAAAAATAAATTTATTTAAATAAAACTAATTAAGTAGAGTCATGTTAAAAAATATTAAGTGAACAAATATAAAACGAGCTCAGAATAGTTCATAGTAATAATTTAAAACGTTCAAAAATGTAAAGCAACTCTATATAAAGTTTTGTGACCGCGAATATTATTAAATTCAAAAGCAAAAATACGTATGATTATCACTTTGAAAATATAATGCTTGATGAATATCATGTTATTATTTATATAAAAATTGTAAATACTTTATTAAGAAAGTGTTTTTTCCTTATATTTTTTTAAACTTTCTATATCTAAATTATATCACAATTTATTAAAATATACTCTTAATTCATCTATCTATGATAGATTAAAACTTACTGTAATTATTATTAAGAAAATTAGCTTGAATAAAATATAATTAAATTAATGAAATATGATACAGACACATTACCCATCCAAGATTGGTTATTATTTTCATCGGTGACATTGGTGATTAGAGTTTTGAGTGGATAAAAAAAAAAAAATAATTACAAAGTTCAAAAAATATTATTTAATCTCTTTTTAATTGTATCTATTCTTAACTGAAATTTTAGCAAAACCGTTATCATTTTACATTAAAAAGCAAGCATATTGTCATTGTGTAAAACAGTAATTGATCATATATATTATACTGTTTTAAAGATTCCAAAGGACATCTGTTATTTTATTTTAAAAGACTTTATGAAATACTAGAGAGCAAACCATTTCATTATAGAAACATTTAATTAAATTAATTTCCGTTTTCACTTATAGATAATCTTTGTTTCATAAAAGTATTTATTGATAAAGTTAAATGTATTTTCAAATTGTTTTATTTAATTAATGTTAGTGAATAGAGAGGAAATGATTAATGAATATGTTACTAAGAGATTCTAATTAACTTAAGATAAAAGTTTATTTTACGCTGCTAGGTTTTTAGTAATAATGTATACATATTTGGATGTAGCTACTTTAAAATTATTCAACTACTAAAAATTATATTAAATGTACTTTTCAGTTAGATAATGAAAATTAATAAATTTAAACAAACGAAAAAAAAAGATATAATTTAAAATAGTGGATAATCAATATTAAATACATTGTAATTTGTAAGAAACTATATTTAAATTATATTTTATAGTTTTTATTGTTAAAATATTTTAAATAATTTTTTTATTTATAAATAAAACACATTTCCCCTTTATTATTTTATGTAGTTTTTAAATACATAAAGACTTCTTTCACAATGCTATAATAATTAAATTTAATATTACAGGACAATGGGGTGACAATTAACAAAACAAAAATAATAAAAACTCTACTTAAATATTAATTTAAACATTTATTACTATTAAGTATGACTATATTTAAAAAATAAAATTATGGCATGGTCAATTAAGAATGATAATATAATAAAATATAATGCTTTAGTTTTCATCACATACAATATTAATGCTTCACAAATAAAACGAAATGTAAATAAAACGTTCTATAATTTATACGCACTGAATGGAAACAATTTAAAGATCATACAGAACTAAAAATATATAATATTAAGTCAATAAATTTAAATTTCTCAAAATAAACATATCGAAAATAACACTTTTAGCCAAAGATGCTAAAAATGTTGATATTTATTCATCTATACGCACCCCCTTCTAAAATATTTATAGTTGAAAAAACGAAAACTTTTTACTTTCATATTATAGAATAAAAATTGTTAATAGTTAACAGTTTTGGAAATAATATTTGACTGATTTAAGTAAAATTTATATAGATAAATTCCTTGAGTTTCAAGTGGTGTATTTAGTTTCATTTTTTAACCCTTCAAAGCTGCTAAGGGTTTAGTCTCGTAGAAATTTCAATTCAGCTCATGAAATCGAATAAGTTTTTGTATATTTATTTGATTGTCATTGTATACGGGTTAGATTAATTATTTATTCCTAACCCATTTCACACAATAAGCATTTAGATGTTAACACATAAAAAAAAATTTAGGGTGAGTACTGATTGGATCACAATTCTTTTATTTATGGTAAAACCACTTAAAATATTGGTAACTCCTCAAATATACTTTCATCAAAAATCATGATATAAATAATTACTTGTTGTTGAAAATTTATAAAACATTTTTTTGTAAAACTACTAAATTTATATTGAAACAAAAAATCTAAAAAAAAAAACATGATTTTTTTCATAGAAATTTATAATTTATAGTTGGATGAAATTAGACAAAAAATAATTATATACCTAATTATTATAGGTGTTTTATCATAATTTTAAAATGTTTATCATTAGTATTTAAAACAGTTAAAATGTTTTACACAGTATTTTTTTATTTCTTGTACGAACAATATTATATTAATCTTTAACTACAAAATTAATTTGCGATTTTTGATGGATTTATAATAATTTACAATGTATACAATTATAAGAAATATAGTTTTTAAATATTTAATTTTGTTTAAAATTGATAAAAATGTTAAGAAACATTTTTTTTTCTGAAATACAGCAAAATATCAAATGTTGCTTGATGAAAAATACTTTTTTTTTTAAATATGTTAAAGACTTATAAAATGCACTGTTTTAAGATTTCAAATATTAATGGTATAAAAATTAAATTATAATGCATTTTCTGCTATAAAATAGTTTGTACATTTTTGAGATTTTGATGAATTTTGGCAAAATTTTCACTTTAAACGCTTATAAAAATATATATAGTGACTATATTTTTTCAATAGTTTTTATCAAGAAATTAACAGTACATAAGGTATTTGGATTAAATTTTCAAGCATTTTTATCCAGTAAACAATTTTTAATCGATATTTATGTTATAGAAAAAAAAAAAAACTAAAAAAAAAATTTCTTGTTCCTTTGAATATCTCAAAAAGGAACAAAATAATTTATCATAAATAGAAAATAATATTATAAACATTTATTAAAAATGTTAAATGACTATGGTTATTCGTTTTTGAGTTACACCAAAAAAAAAAAAACAAAATCGGTTTTGTCAAAATTGGTTATACCTACGTAAACATTTATATTTTGTCTCAATTTTTCTTTTTTCTTTTTTTTTCCGATTATTAAAATCGAATTTTTACCCAAACTACTGTTTAAGTTAAAAATCGGAGCATTTTATCGAGCAATAATTATCGTATACACATACACAACAAAAAAAAAAAATCAATACATTTATTGCTCCACTCAGAGTCTAAAAAATAATAACGTATTTTCACTATATTAAATTAATATGATTTAAAGATATGCAAAATAAATTATACGATATTCGATTTATTAATATAAATCGGCTTTCAAAATAATTATTATCATTGTTATTATTATTAAGTTGTTGATGTATGTTGTGTACTTTTATATACTATAAAAAAAAACCTGTAACTGGATCTCATTTCCGCAATAAAGAAAATATTATGGTTATTAAATATATAATTATATACAGATTTAATTTAATTGAAAATAATCAATTTACATTAAACTATAAACATGCTATACTTATAACTTATAACTTATAAGGTATCTAATAATAAATACCTAAATTAAAATATAAATAATACTATCGTAATGCATTGAATATAATTTCATTATACAAAATTTTAATATTATGTTTTGTAAAAAATAATAATAATAATAATAAGTATACCATATTATTAAGGCAGGTTATTTTTCATTGATTTTTTGCGGGATTCAAATGATGATAATATTTCGTTGAGAGATTTTCCTTTTGTTTCTGGCAATATAAATGCACCAAACAATGCACTTGTAAAACTGAATATTGTGAATACTGAACAGACAAATTTTACTCCGAATTTCGACACAAATGCAGGGTATATTTTGATGATTAGAAACATTAATTCATATCCACAAGATTGTACGATCCCGCCCATAACACCTAAAAAATAGAAAAGTTCATAGTTAAAAAAAAAAATGTTAAGTAAGAACTGCTCTGTTGTACATTAGATGTCAAGTGGAACTCGTTGTTGTATAAATTCCTAAAAAATGTTTAATGGATTTTGTAAAATTTAAACTCATTGTTATCATGGAATATGATAAAAATACGATTCTGAGCGAGAAAACTGTCTAAATTTTGGTAACCATGGTTACAAAATAATTGTTTCAATAATAATATTAGAATTGCATAAAAATTCCCATTTTCCCTTAATTTTTTGTTTGAAAATAGAGTAAAATTAAGTATTAAGATTTTTAAATTTTTACTTCTCTAATAAAAACATTAAAAAATGACCTAAAAAACTATAAATATTTGTTTAAAATAAATAAAATACATAAAAAAAAAAAAAAAAAAATAGTAATAATAATAAAAATTACTCAAAATTATTACATTGTACTATTAAAGCATATTTTATATTGTCAAAAATAAAAATGACAACTAGCAATTGCCTTATTCTATCGAATCTTTATCTTTATCTAACCCGTATACAACTTGTGTAAAATATAATTTTGATGTAGATACTTAAATACAGTGTATGTAAAATAAAAACTATGTGTGTAAAGATGTTAATTGACGAAATCGAATTATATATACAAGAAATTTAACAAAAAGGAAATAGGGCTTAAAAATGACAAAAAAGACTTAAAAAGAAAAAAAGCCGAAAAATGCAAAATTAAAATGAGTTATTTGTTTATAAAACACATTTGTGGCCAAGAGAGCATCGTCTAATAAGTTCCAAAAAAAAAAAATTGCAAAATGCATCAACTTCCGAGCCCAATTCATAACATTTTTAAAAGCCCTGATTCCATTAACGATTTCAATAAATTTTCAAATGTACATTTTTACTATAAAACTCCTTCTAAATTAAAGGATCACTACAAATAATTTATTGAAAATTCCTTTATTTTATTTTCTGTAGTCTTGTGCCTGATTTAATAGCTAGCCAATTTAATCAACAATGTAAATATGATCTATCTTCTCCCCTAATTTATATTTTTAATTTATCTTAATGTAGTGGTATTTTTACAGATGTATGGAAAACAAGTATTATAGCTAATACTTTAAATTACAAGCCTATATCTTTATTTTCAATTGCAACAAAAACATTAAAATCTATTGGATCAGATAATTCCAGAACTAGAAAAAATTATTGTTGATGATCAATACGATATTAAATCATATAAATCAACTACTACTAACTTATTACACTAAAATATTTCTTAATTGATGCTTTTTTCAGCTGGTTTACGTATGGACATTATTTATATTGATTTCACGAAAGTTTTCAATAAAGTCAATCTCTTTATTCTTCTTTTACATAAATTTAATTATATTGAGGTATGTGGTTCATTTATACAATGAATTAAATCTAAAATTTCACAGTGCACTCTAATTGTTGTTTATAAAGAATTTTGGTCAAATCAATATTAGTTTCATCAGTATACACCATTCTCGCCTAGCCCCAATTATATTTCTAATATATATTAATGACATTAATTTTCTAAATAATCTAAACTGATGTTTGCTAATGATATTAAACTTAATAGTAAATTGTTATAAGGATGCTGCATTATTATAATTTGATTTAAATATGTTTTTTAATTGTTATTTAAAAAAAAATATATTACGCTTACTATTATAAAAATGTTTTTATCATTTACGTTCATACCGTGTAAAAATCCTACAGGTCCAAATCCGTATAATATTTTAATAAATAAATAAATATTAAATGTACTGTATATCGGATGATCCATTAACATAAAATATTCATTACTTCAAAAAGTACTAAGATTTTTAAAAATAATTTGAAGTCATTAAAGAAAATACTTTTTTTTTTTTATCATCATCACTATTTTATTATCTTGACATTATAAACATTAGATTTTGCGCGAGTAGTTTTTGAGTAATACAATTTTAATAAGTGGACCGTGTAGTGAAGTGAAATAGAGTAGAGGTAACTAAATATTGATTACACATAAACATTAATGACTAATAAACTGACAAACTGCTTATCTAAATTTTGATTTTCGTAGATTGAAACACTTTATATAAAACTCTACTTTGGAATTGAAATTGAAAATACACGTTCTGATTAAAAAGAATAAAATTTTTATTTTTTTTCCTAAAGAATTGTATTGTAACGACTTCAAAGAATATAAAAGAATTATTTTAATTACGTCAGTATTTCTTGAAATAATGAGTGCCTTACGTTAAATGCATCACTCCGTAGGTTATTAATAACTATTAAAACTCAGAGTAGGTACTGAGAAATGAATTTAAAAGTCATATGTTTTGCAATTGTAAGATATGAATTCCATATTAAATACGACGCACCAGTTGTCTATCGTATGAAAAAAATTATTTTTTATTTATTTTTCCATTTTATTTGTAACAGACAAGATATGAGAACAACCAAAACTTAGGAGTTAAGTTTGTACTAAAACTCATCACTACTATTAGTCTAACTTTATTGAACTGTATTATAAATAAAAATTTTTAATTTTGTATATTAAATTATATTTCAAGAACGTTAATAATCATTAAAATCATCAAATTTTTTGCTTAACGCTAAAATTAATTTAATGTTCAAATGTTTGAAAAATTCGGAGACAGTTCGAGTGAGATATATGAGAAAAAAAACAAAGTCCGGCGCACTACAGCTTGTTCTTACGATAGGTACGGTATAGTATATTACTAGCTGATCCTGCACGGCGTTGAACATGACAAATTAAATCCTCGTGGGTTTATTCCTTTTTACAGTCCGTTAAGTGTAAACTGTAGGGATTTTTTCAACTCGGATATTTGGGTTGTTTTGACCAAATATAAAATACAAAGCTAAACTCACGCACAATTATAGTCATCATTTTATAAATTTCATATTATATATTATTGTGACATTTAAATATATAAATATGTGACTTCTATAAAAAATTAAAAATTCGATATCGAGGGCATAGGATGTGCCAAATTTCAGAACCGAGAGCGCAACAGACCTGTGGCGCGCTTACACACACACACACACACACACACACAAACATCGACAGCTATCAATTAGATACAGATAGATGGAGGACAAACCTTTGACGGCCATCGGGAACACCTCTCCGCAAATGGCCCAGGGCATCGGCAGCATGGCCAACAGGGCGAAGAACACGTAAGCGGTGAACGCGACGATGAGCACCGCGCCGTAGGGCGGCGAGGCCATGTCGTTGTACAAGTGCATGTAGACGATGATGACGGTCAGCGACAGGCCCATTCCGCCGCCGGACACCACGACCATCGTCTTCCGTTGGACGTGGTGCAGCAACGAGTAGACGACGCTGCCGATGACGCGGGACAGCGACAGGAACGCGGTGACGGTGACGCCGTCCCACTGGACGCGACAGTCGCGCAACACGTCCACCGAGTAGAACAGCAGCACGTAGAACCCGCTGCCCTGCTGGCAGATGAAGAACAGCGTGGTTATCAGGGTCGGCTTCCAGACGGTGGGCCCGGTGAACCGCGTCCAGTACGCGGCCGCGGTCGACTTGCCGGCGGCCGGGGCGCCGTCCGCGGCGCACATGTGCTCGTCGCCGTTGACGGCCAGCGCGGTGACCGGCGCCGGGACGGCGGTCGCGGCCGGCTGTTCCATGCCCAGCCACGCCTCGGCCGCTTCCGCTTCGCGGGTCCGGCCGTGCGCCCGGAGCCACACGGGCGACTCCGGCACCAGGAACATCGCCGCGATGTTGACGGCGCTGATCACGAACATTATCAGCGACACGGTCTTCCAGTGGAAGTACAAGGCCATCACGCACTCGAACATCATGCCCATGCCCACGAACACGGTCACCAACGACATGTACAGCGGCCGGTACTCGGTGGGCGACACTTCGCCCACGTACAAGAACACGCACGACCCCGAACCTGCGGAACGAAGCGATCGGTACAGTTTAAAATTCGGCGGTTCTCGACCTTTTGTTGACCACGGACGGGAAAAGATTTTTTAGAAATCGCGGACCCCCCTTGCCGATTTTTCTTTCGATTAATTTGACGATTATTTTTCTATTACATGCAATACGCCACGTATTGGCGCGCGTGTTATGAGTAGAGCGCGGATTTCTATGCCATTGCATATTTTTTTCCTTTTAATATTTTTGGATTTTTGTCAGTTATCTCCACGAATTATCATAATTTGAAGCTAATGGTGAAATTTTTTTTTGCATATTTCTGCATATTTGAAGGTTATTGCATATTTTTGCATATTTTGACAAAATTCAAAATTTATTGCATATTGAAGCGAAAATTTAAAAAAATGTATAGGATAATATTTTGTCGAGTAGAATGATTTAAAATTTATATCTATTCATTTGGCATTTTTAGTGATAAAAATAGTCATAAAAAAAACTGGAAACTCGAAATATGACTTTATATCTAAGCTTTTCAATAATTGACGAAACGAAAGAAAAAATGCATTCTATTCCTGGATTGAAAGGTGTAACACTTACAACAAAATTAAACGAGCTTTCCAATAAAAATGAAGGTCTGAAAATTCTACGAAAAATTAATTCAGTGTTATTAAGTGAAAACGTTCATCTTGAAGATCTTTATCAAGATCCGACAATACTAAGTTGCTTCAAATATGCCCCAATAACTTCGGTTGACGTCAAACGTTCGTTCTCAGTCTTTAAAAATATGTTAATCGATAAATGATACAACTTCACAGAAGAAAAACTTGAAATGCATATGATTATTAATTTTAATAATAAATACAATTTTAAAAATAAATTAAGTTTAGAAATTATTTATTATTAAGTATTTAAGTAATTAATTATTATAAGTTTTATTGTAAATTTTAAATAAATAAAAAATTCTTGTATATTTTTGCATATTTTCATAATTTTGACTGCATATTTTCATTATTTTTACTGCATATTATATGCCATATTTCGATACTTTTAAGTGCATAAAAATCCGCGCTTTAGTTATGAGTTAAGGCTGCCGCGGACCCCCGACATGAGTATCTCAGCCCCGGGGGGCTGCGGACCACGGATTAAGAACCACTAGTTTATATCATTGTTTTCGTGACAAAATATTGATTTGAAGTAATCAGATTAGAGAATTAAAGATTAGAGTAATTTTATTATTAGTTTCACCCGATGTGGTATTTCAGTAGGTCGGTATAGTTTTTTTCCCCCGAAAACATTGCGTTCGTTATATTATTTTAATTTAATTTGTTTGAGTTGTATAAATATTATTGCTGACGGTATGAACCGTCTTATAATATTCCTAAAATCAATCTACATATTTTGAAAATTCCATTGCGCATAGCAGAGGTCTTCCACCAGGGCGCCGTGAAATCATTCAAAATAATAAAAATCATACATATTTTTCACGATTTAAAAAAAATAAAGTGATTTTACGAAAAATAATACAGAGTAATATGCGTTTTAGGTAACGCCACAGATTTATATCGTTTGTGATCATCTTAAGCAAATTTTAGTTTAAAAATTTAAACTGTCATATACTTATTTATTTATAGAATTTCAACTTTTGCTATGTACCCCTGTTATTTTTATATGATTATATTTTGAACTGGAGGACCCCCACACGAATTTTCCTAGTTGAGCCCAGTATTCATATATGTATATCACTATACGAAATTAAATTAAATTAATCAATATAAAAACTATTGCGTTTTGTAGAATAATTTGTGATTAAAATTTAAATGATACATTATGTTCTATTTATTTTAATTTTCATACTTGTTTGCTGTCTATCGCCTCAACTCAGGCTATTATAAAATGATCTCACCATCATTGGATTTCCACACTTATAAATATAAAAAAAAATAAATAAATGAAGTTTGAGTTCATTGAATAGGAAATGAGAGTGTGTCTTTCAAAAATTTTGCCAAAAATATTTGTGTAAAAATAAAGAGCTCAATCGTCTCATTAGTATTAGTAATTATTGATACCATAATACCATAATTTACATATATATTTATATATAAATAATTATAAATTTTAAAAGTATTTAATTTTTTTATAATGTGTAATGATATGTGTGTATAATATGCAAATCGGTTATATGCAACTAAAGAAAACTGAAAACTGTTGTTATATAAATTAAAAATGTAAATACAGGATTTATTATCTCCGGATTTTTTAGAAAATACTTTAAGGTGCCACGAGTTAAAGTTGAGAACCTATGGCGCATAGTAAAATAATTCAATATTGGAAAATGTATCATCAAACTAACAATTCTTTGAACGTCACTTTAAGTTTTAGAAATTCTTCCAGATCGTTTAGGTTTATTATAAATGTTACACTAAATGTGACACATGAAAAATAAAAATGTTGTATCTACACGCTAAACACACGTCATACTAACAAATAGCAATTGAGTTGACATAAATAACCATAGTTCACAAACATATAAGACAGATAAAACAGTACCGATATTTTACTCATGTCAATTTATTATATTGGGTAACTATATTTATGACAAATAAAACAATAATTATTACAGATCTTTTCACTAGATAAATTTTATTTTATATTAGTTTTCATACCAATTTTATTTATTTTATTTTGGTGTTACACTTTATTTTTACTTGTCTTCATAGTTTTTTTTTTTTATATACATTTTCTATCATGCATGAAGTTATAGTATTTTATAATATTTTAAAACAATTAATGTTCATTTATTATTTTTTATATCATTTTACTGTAATTTTCTTTAATATTTTAAAATACTTGATACGCCATTTTGTATGCAAAAGTGTACAAATTGGTACAATTATTTATTAAATTTTCATAATAGATGTTACTTATATTTAATTTTTTTTCTCAAAATGCTGCTATATTATGCAATCTGTTACAATTAGATTTATAAGCTTTAGTGATAAAATAAGCAATGATATTTAAAAAATACAGAGAGAACAATCCTCATAACGATGAAACTTAATTTTGAATTTCAATTTAAAATATAGCGATATTAATAAACTAATAATAATAAAATTAATTAATAGTAATCATATATATATATTAATTTAAAACTGTTTTTGTTAATAATTTTAGATAAAAATATTTATTTTTATTTTTTTAAACCGTATGCATAAATAAATATTTAGAAGTATTGATTTTTAGTTATTTTAAATTTAAACATTAATTTGCTTCATTTTTTATGTAGGTACCTATTATGTACAAAACAGGTCGTTTAAATGTAAATATTATCTTTGAACGTCCACGCGTCAATATATTATGTTTCGACGTTATTCATAATCGACTACATCATGGTATAGTATATTATTAAATTGTAACTTATTTTATATATTTTATATCCAACGGGTACCGTACTGTCGTCTGTCACTAATCGAAAATCGACAGTATAGCTGATTGAGAAAGACACATAACGCTCCCAAACGTTCGAATAATTTTACAATAATTAACCGACCCGTGCAACCATTTATTGTCATAATTAAATGAGCAAATTTGTCTTGTATTAGTAATAATCGATCGGAAAGTTCGTCAAATATATATTCGTGTAATGCCTAATAGTTATTATAATATTATTACGATATTTCCATGACAAATGCCATGATTATAAGATCTTTTCTAAAAGTAGTGACTACAAATACCAGCGGACATTTTCTAATGCTGCAATACGTATAAAAGGTACTTAAAAGCAATGCCGCTAATACTTCAAACGACAAATCGGTTCGATATTCGATGTGCGTGCAAAGAATAGTTTTAAAGAAATTGCTGTCGTCACATTTAGCTATACGCTTCGTATTACGTTTTTGTTTCTAAGTATGTATATATCGTATATACATATTACATATATATTTATATCATGGGTGGCCAACTTGCGGCTCGCGAGCCAGACGCGGCTCTAGTCATTGTCAGATTTGGTTGCGTCTTATTTATAAAATCAAAATTTACTTAATATCGTTATGAATATTAATTTTTTAGGTCGTAGGTAAATTATAAAAATTACCAAAGTATGGGAAATGTGTCTAAAAACATTTTGGCTCTTGGTATCATTGTATTTGTCTACGTGTCCCGTGAACTTATTTATGTTGACCACCCCTAATATATGTAATGCGATATTTGAAGTCAAACGAAATCAATGCTGTACAAAAACTATGAGTTAGCAAACGTCACACTCGTAATAAATATACAATATGAGTATAATTAAACAGTTAATCTTTTATGAGGTAGATATCTATACCTACGTCTTACCACTTATAAATTAATTTCACAACACATAGATTTATAATTATGATACTATTACCCATTTAAAAACTCAAAATATAAAATGTTGAGGCTTTCTCTAAATTTTGATGACATAATATGTTTTTGAAATATTCGTATTCTCTTACCATACATGTAGTAGCACCTATCAGTCGGAGACACAATGTCGAAGATGATTTTAGATAAAAGTTGTAAAGTTAAAACTTTTAAACAAAAATACTTCAAAACAATTGTTCACATTATTTACATAATTGTCTGAAAGATGAAATAAATATTTTTTTGACAAAGGATAATTGTGTTGTCAAAGAATTTTCCACTTATGTACCATTTTAAAGAAAAAAGAATTATATATTTTTTAATCAATCGATAAACTTACCAAATGTAGTTCCCAGTATAATCCTTCCGATCATAATAGTTTTTAAACTATTGGCGTATGCGAGTACCAGCCAACTTATCATTATTGGTATGTAACTAACTTGGAGAGCTTTTCTTCTGCCAATTTTATCTAACAATATTCCGATTACAAGTAAACCGATAGGGCATATTAATATCGGTACACTTGCTAAGAAAAAAAAAAAATAAAAATATGTATTATTATACTTACTTTTTGTTCAATTTTATTTGTCAAAAAATATTGATTAATTCAAAACTTATATAAAATATTATATTTACTTATCAGTTCTAAATTCCAATAAGCCAATAGAACCTAAAAACACTCATTTTTAATTGATTATAGTAATTAGTTACATTAAGTACCTATATTGTTATGATTATAGTTCTTGATACTAAATTAAAACTGCTTAAACTAACTTTTTTATCAAAACCTTATTTAAATAAAAAAAACCTAACGATACCCTTAAACATTTACAGTTTAACTATTCTATCAAGCAAATAAATAATTATTATGCTTTATAATAATAATATTAAAATCAATAAAAATTGAATTTTTTGTATTTAGTGTTTGTTTAGTTGATAAACTCGTTTTTTTTAGAATAATTATGTTCACTTTATTCTCACGTCAAACACATAATAAGTTTATAGTACTTTACGTAATAACTTGGGCAGTTTCATTATTCTAAAATAAAAAAAATTAGGTAGAATAACTGTAAACAGATTTAATACTAATTGCTCTATGATTTATTATTCATTTATTATTACCTAGCTGGAATTTGTTTTGTTTTAATTACTTTCTTAAAAATAAATAATTTTAACAAAACTCACGCCATTTAAATAAATGTTCACAAAAATATAAAATTTAATTAAAATTTGAGAAAACATACAATTCTACTATTGATTATAATATTTAAAAATAAAATATGCGTTCACAATAATTTTGATTGATATTTATTGTTCAAACATAAAAAATAAACATTATTAAAATAAGAATTATATTACAACCTCTTAAAAATTTTCTTATTTTTAAATTAAAATATGATTTTAAATAAACATTTGAAAAAATGAAATTAAAAAATATATTTTCTATATGTTATTTAAATATATACGTTCATTATTAATATTTTCGTTTCCAAAATAATATGAATATTAAGACTGTTTTTATAAGAAGTTTTAATGATATTAGCTGCATTGTATACACTTTTTATTTTTATTTGTTACAAACAGATATTATCTAATAATAATATTATAATTTATATTTTATATTACAATTGAGAAAGTAACAACATAGTTCAGTTAAAATACGTATCCTGTATCCACTGCTGTTGATCATTAGTCATGACTCGTAAACTAGTTTTTTTATCATTACAATGTAGTGAACTTTATCTCCGTTATACCAGAGGCTTTTATTTTGTTTATATGCACATTTATTATTATTGTAGTAAGAAATGTGATTGTTTATGATTTATTTTTGAACACAAATAATATACAAAAACCTCTGACAATGAGCAGTTAAAATTATATTTTTGCTTACAAACAAAAACATTTTTATCCACCTTCCACCTTCAATTAACGAGTTAAAAGTTTATATCGGTAAAATACAATGACATTTATTTCAAACAAATTTGTGCTAAGTTAAAATTTCTGTTCTATAGTGAATGATGAAAATTAATAACATGATTGGAAATTTTTATAATTAAATTTAAATTTTTTAATATTTTACAGAAAGAAAAACGTAAATAAAAAAAAAATATGTGAACACATAATTAGCTGAAACTAAATAATATTATTATTAATTGGTATCTGAAGTAAAACCACTCTATTAAAATGTAAAGGCCATGCATTTTTAAAGAAATTCTACGTAATATCTGAATTGTAAAAATATTTTGTTTGAGTAAGTACAGCCGTACAGATAATGTTTTCCAGTATACTACTATATCTACTATAAATAATTATTATTAATGATATTCATTTATCTATTTGTGATGGTGAATTAAACTGTACAGGGTATGATATTATTAAAAAAAAAAATCAAATGATACAAAAGAATCAATAAAGTTATACTTATTTTTTTGTAAATCTTGTAAAAAAAAAAAAAAATCCGATTCTGCAAATAAAAGTTTGTCGTTACATAATAATCTCAAATAAAATTAATTCTAAATAAAAAATGACAAATAGATATTCAGGTATAATCTTATATTGGATCTAGTTGATATTTTTGGGAGTCCAAATAATTTGATAATTATGCAGCACCAATTTTCGGCTAAATTATTTTTTAATTTTGTTTAAATCAAAATATAATGACTTAATTACTTGAAATTCAACCAAATATTTATATTAACGTTTTATAGCTATTAAATCAATAGTCATCTATTATATATTAAAACTTATAGGTATAAACATTTAAAATTTTAAAATTCTTTTATTTATTTCATAAGTCAAAAACATTAACATTTTTTTAACAAATTTTTTCATATTTTGTAATCTTAAAAATATTAAAAATAAATAGTAGGAAAAATTATTTTTTATAAACATTTGAAGTTTAAATTTTAACAAAGTCATGAAAGTTTGGAAATTTTTTATAGTTTGATGTTTGAGAAATTTTAAATTTAAATATCTTAAACTTCAAATCATCTATAATACATCGTGGCTAATTGTTTTTTTACATAACATTTTTATATTTTAACGAAAAATTTAGATTTTACGTATTATATTATAATTAAATACATATTTATTGTATAGACTTGAAACCATCAAATATACTATTATTTTCTACAATCTATACAATAAGTAAAATATATCGACTATCATAAATTTTAAGTTATTTATACCATGAAACTAAGTACCAACAACATCAATCTTAAATACGCGGTATTAACTTGAAAATTAATCATAATAATATAGTATATTGATTATAATATAAAAACTAATAAATACTAAATAATATAATATGTACCTATCATGTTTTTTCCAAAAAAGAATTCAACATACTGAGCTAATAAAAAAATTATATAGATATATACCTAACTTAATAATTAAACAGTATAATATTCTTAGAAAGTCATTTTTCGCAACTATGCAATTATGCAATTATTATTATTAAATCTAAATTTAACTCTCAAAATATTATGCTATATAGATTTTTTTCATTTTAAAAGATTTTTACAGTCTTGAGCGATGTAAATTAAGATAACATTAAAAAGTAAAATTCTTTTAATTAGGTAGTTTAGTTTATAATTTGTAATTTATCGAGTTGTTTACAGATTTATAATTTCTTAATACGTCTGTTATTTAAACTAAATATTTTTTTTTATATATATACATTATACATATTATTGTATGATTTATATCAATATTATTTCATTAATAATTATTATGGTTTACTACAGTTCCACGCATATCATTTATCTCTATATTATGTTATTATAATTATAAATAAAAAGTTTTGATTGTGTTTGCAATAAGCTTTAACAATTCACATTCATTTTATTATGGTGAACAGAATAAATTTGACAATATTAACTTAAAATTATCTCTGAAAAGTTTTTAGATCACATAATGGCTCATACAAAATTATACTACTAAGGTCACGAGTTTTGAACAAACGCGTCAGATGTTTAATGACATCAATATATCGTATCTATTCCTTGTTGTTGTAACTCATAAGCCTTAACTTGTAATTATTTAATTTTATTAAAACTTTAAACTATCTTTGGACCTTTGGCGTAACATGGGATTCAATTTAAAGAAAAACTAACGGGTAGACATTTTCAAGAATTTAAATAATTTTGCATTTTGTATACGATAAATGTTCAACATTTGAGATATATTTAAGAAATTAAATTTTATAATTAATTATGCATTATTGATATTAATAATTACTTTCTTTTAGGAATGAAGATAACCTTTAATTTGAGTTAATTTATTTCATAGTCTTGATTTCATCTGTTTGAAAAAATTACACGAGAAGACCGTTATTATTTTTTACCAAAAGGTATAGATATTATTACTATTATTATCATTATATATTTTGACTTAATAGTAAACAAAAATTAAAATATATCGTTAACCTATAATATTATTTCTTGTTATCTGTTATCACTATAATAATTAAACTTAAATAACACTATTTATTATTTTTTTTTTGAAAATATTTGAGTAAACCAATTTTAACAAAAAATATATAGATGAATAAACCAATAAATAACTATGAAAATAAGATTTAATTTCAAGTCATTATATCGTATAAATATAATTGTACAATATAATAATAGAAAATTAATTTACCAATCCATGAGCCGTCTTCATGTGTTATTTTTATTGTAGATGTTGGTTCTTTTAGTTTGGATAAAAGGATAGATGAGAATATAAAAGAAGATCCAACGACAAATTGATGAAATGACAGTAAACAAGTGCATAATGACTAAAATTGAAATATAAAAATAATTCGATGACTATAATATGGTTGTCGAACAATAATGCATTATTTGTAAACATTTTATTTCATACTCACTAGCTTCAAATGACGATTTAATTTAGGAGTCAACATTTTAAAAAAATAGTCGACTTAAAAAAAATGTAGCTACGATATAGTTATTTGACTGTACACAACTATACGTGTCAACTCATTCTTGATTAATGACTGACTAGGCGATAAACATTCAATTGCTAATTTACTTATTATAAATTAATTACATGTATAATATTTTGCGTATCATAATACCTCTTGAATTCATATCAGTGTATATAAAAACTGTAATGATAACAAAGTAACGATGTACATTATATTCGTATTACTAGAATATTGAAACGAAAAAAAGTGTGTTCTGTCATGTTTCTTTTTTTATTAACCTTACCTAATGTAATTTATATATTATATAGAAGATAAAGAGAAAAAATATTAACTTTAAACTATCCTATATAATTGATATTAAGTTGTCTTGAGTATAAACTAATAAAAGTTTCATAGCTTGTCAATACCAGTTTCGCCGCTTTAATCATGTATACAATCATCCACTCAATGCTGTTGACTTAAACGGTAAACTCGTTGCCATGAACTATACCAACACTTACAAAACGTCTTTATAGTTTATTTTATTATTATTATTATTATTATTTACAAAATAAAATTGGACATTAAATTACCGTTCATCTTTTGAGAGTTTAAAGTGATAGGTATCAATATATATGTGAACTATAAGAAACTATATTATACAGATCAATTATGTTTTATTGGAATCCTATTTCTTTTTTCACGTACCTATATAAATATTTATTTTAAAAGTAAACATTCGTTTTCTTGAAAAGTTTTAACATTTATAGAAATATATTTCTAGTCTTTTTATAAGTTTTTACTTTTCTGAAAGATAAAATTCATTTTTAAAAGCATTGCTAAAACAGAATATTTTCATTTAACAAAACCAAAAATTTTTTTTTTAGTAGAGTGATGAGGGAGGCACAATTAAGAAATTTATTGACGTGTCGTTTAATTATCATATTTTTATTTTAAGTATGATAAACACATTAATTATTATTTACTACGTAAGTGAGTGAAATAAAAATAAAAATAAAAATTAATTTTACAAAAACATAAAAAAAAAAATGCTAGAAAGTTGAGTGTACTTCCTCAATTATTTTTACGAATTATGAGCGTAAAGTAGCTGGTTTGTAGATAACAGAGTGGTTATTGACTTTATCTTTTTTCAAACATTAATTTAATTTATAGATTTTTGAAAATATAAAAAACAAAAAACGTGTAGAAAATTTTAAATCAAAGATTTGACTTTATTTGTAAAGTTAAATATTATATGTATTTTTTATAGAATTTGTTGTAGCATGCCTGTACCATTTAAATTTCTATATTAAAAATGTATTAAAAACTCTTGAAAAGTGTTTGAATTTATGGAGGTATTTTCTATCAAATCTATATATTACTACGACTTAGGTATCTAAAATATTGATGTAATAAATATGTAATTGAGTCTCAACTGATGAATATGTTATTTCAAATTTTATAGACTTAAGTAAGTACTTTTTTTATAAATATTTTTATTAAATTGTATTTTATTTACCGTTGACTATTCAATATAACTTCGCTATTTAAATTATTTGATGTTATTGATGTACAGTGATTTTATTTTAAGCATATAATGACTTTAAAACGATTTTTGAATTTTTTTTATAAAGGGTGGAAAATTTATTGTTATGTAATATTAATACCTTATCAGGTGACAATTTTATACTTTTATAAGCTTTACGAGATATTTAAAATAGTATATTGATTAATTGATATAACTACATCAATTATTATGCAAGAAGGTATGGGTAAAAACGTGATGGTTAATCAAAGTATTTTACCGATGCAGACTTTGATGGCATTAAAATTATAAGTTCATGATCATATTTATCATGGTTAGAGAATTAGTGGTCGATTAAAAAATATATATATATATATGTGTATATCATATCATGTTATTATATATATATGTTTATTTTTGACTGAAGTACATCATATTATATTGTTTACCTTAATACAGTTAATATATATATATATATATATATATTATTTAGATTTATTATTTGTTTTCGAACTTATCAGTTACTGTAGGTATCATCACTATTATAATAACTACCTATTTTACATTTAGTTATTTACGCATGTTTCATAATTTTATTAAAATATTATTATGAAGTATTAAATTGATTAACGTATTATTATAAGGAACACGTGTTATCACACATGTTTAATGAAAAAATTGTCTATGATAAATTTGTGATACAAATGTAAAATACAAATGAAATTTATATAAAATAAATATTTTTTAGCAAGTCATCTTTATTTTTCTTATATTTATAGAGGTATTATTATTTTTTTGTGTATGAGGCCACTGCCTACATGTTAAAATAAATAATATAATTACAGTTATACAATTATTATATATATATATATATATAAATATATTATGTAAAATGTTATTAAATTAAATTAATAAAAATTTGATTATGACATTTAGATTTATTAATACTATTATTTTAGCAAGTAGTGATATTATATTATAAGTGTTCTAATCAACTAGGTATCTATCTACTGGATTACTGTAATTTTTTTTTAATAATTATTATTATTTCTGTAACAAAAAATGTTTGTTTGAATAAACAACCTTATTTCAATAAATATTTTAATACTTTTATTGTATACCTACCTTAAATTATAATCAGTGAAGTATTTGCAGAGTATTATTAATCAATAAGTAATCTATTTATTTGATAAAACTAAACTTGTATAATTGAATTAAATATAATATGTAAGATAAAAATTAGTTACAAGTATATTCTATTGTCATAGTTGATTATAAGTATGGCCACTATGACCTGAATGACTACTTTTTATATGGTAAAAAAGTAAATGTAAGATTAAGATAGTACTTCAAGTATTTAAGTACAAATGAAATTATTATTTTATTACGTTAATTATTAAACCAAATAGCACTTAATAGTTAATAATTTTAATATCAGAAGTATTATTTTTCCACCTAGTCTTCTTGAAAATATAATGTGCAGTTGAATAATAATTATATTTGATATTGTTAAATGTGTAAATAATAATATAGTATAATAGCTATTAAATATAAATAAATCATTTAAAGCTTGTTATTTTAAAATACGAAATACAATATAAAAATGTATACAAATCATTAGTGAAAAAAACCAAATGAATGTATTAAAATATAAACCATTACATACCCATGAAAAATAGTTCAAACCAATGCAATGACAATGTGTCCGATGTATAGTAATTGTGTTCTAGATTTCGAAATGTTATTCATTAGGCAAATTGTGTCCGGATCATAAAAGTTAAAATCACCCGATAGCTTACTCGAATTCCAGTATAAGGTTTTTTGTAACCTAGTTGCAATTCGAAAATTGATGCAAAAAATCGATTATTTAAATGTGCTTATGTAATACCTATACAAGTGTATATATTATACTTTAATTAATTGTTTCAAACTATATCATATTCTAGTTGTTACCTACATATAATTTCGTTTTGATTTCTAATTAAGTATGTTTATGTATATTAAACACATATTAGAAATAATAGTTTATATAAAATATAAACAGCATCTAATAGATGTGTATGATGAGTGATGACTACAGAGTCAATTTTAACTTAAGATTAAAATATTTTAGTTGTAGATTAATTAATTTAACAAAAATCAAATTATAAAATAATGTAAATGGTTATTTTATAAAATAACACTAATAAGCGGTACAACTTTTTCGTTAATCTTAAAATTAAATATTAAAAACTATAACTTAATAGATATTCAAATATTAAAAAAAAAAAAAAATTAAAAGAAATATGTAACCTTTGAAATTTAGTGCAAGGTTCCACCTAAGCTATTATTTTTAAAATAAGCTTAATAATATGTTAAACATTTAATATTCAACAATATGTAACATAAAATTACAGATTTTGATTTGTTTATAACATGAAAACAATTTGTATCAATTGTATCCAATAGTTGACTTTATTTTATGACTGCATCAAAATAATACTCAAATTTTATAATTCCTCAGTCCAACATCAATAAATTAGCAAGTAATAAGACCAACATATTATAACCAGAAAATCTAAAAAAAAAACATATATAAACACAATATCTTTTTACAAAATAAATACTCTTTGTTCAAATTTTAACAAAATTAGAAACTTAAAACTTTTAACGTATATTATTATATTTTATACACACAATAACATTCTAAAACGCTTTGCTTTCGACAAAAATTAATTCAACTTACTGTGTTACTATCTAATAGTAATATAAATATAATCATAAAATAATATACTTATTAATATAAGCATATAGACAAGATTTGCTCAGAATCGTGTTTCGTATGCAATTATTTATCATTAAATTTAAATTTACGTGTACATATAGTGATTTACATCTCAAACTCACTGGAAACCTATTGTTTAGCACAGAAGCGTGGATTTTTATGTTTTCCTCTTTTTTACTTTTTCTCTTGTTTTTCTTTTAAACTACTCTCGCAAAGCTCTTATATCTCATACCATATCTATTTTATTGCTGTACACTTTGCCCATATTGAGTGTAATCGTTTATTGTAAACTACATACAATTATTATTATTATTATTATTATTATTATTATTATTATCATCATCATTACTTTATACGTCAATATTATGCACATATCGTATAGAAAGGCGTACTCAAGTATTCAACACGTATTTCCTTTTAATGGTAATTATGAAATATTTCGAAAACCATATTATGAATAGAAAATAATAATATATATAAAACTTAGAATTTTCAAGTCTCTATGATTTATTATTTGAATTATAACAACATATTTAATACGAAAAAAAAAATTTATTTTGTTTTGATATTTAATTGCGTTAAAATTTGAACTCCAGATGTTTATAAGAAAGGTTTTTAAATTTATGAATTGCTGTACCTACTAAAAACGTATGAGGGATGTTGTATTAATATTTCAAAATATTTTGACTTAAAAAGAATATTATCAAC